CAGGGGTCACTCAGGGTCACTGGGGTCACTCAGGGGTCACTCAGGGGTCACTCGGGTAGTTTGGGGTCACTCAGGGGTCACAGGGGTCACTTGGGGTCATTCAGGGGTCACTCTGGGTCACTCAGGGTCATTCAGAGGTCACAGGGGTCACACAGGGTCACTCAGGGGTCATTCAGGGTCACCAAAGTGTCCCCAAGGAACAATGAGGGTGGCATGGCTGACACAGCTGACACAGGAGGTGACACAGGAGGTGACACAGGTGACACAGGTGACACAGCTGACACAGGTGACACACAGCTGACACAGGTGACACAGGAGGTGACACAGGAGGTGACACAGGAGGTGACACAGGTGACACAGAGCTGACACAGGTGACACACAGCTGACACAGGTGACACAGGAGGTGACACAGGAGGTGACACAGGTGACACAGGTGACACAGAGGTGACACAGGAGGTGACACAGGTGACACAGGAGGTGACACAGGTGACACAGGTGACACAGGAGGTGACACAGGAGGTGACACAGGTGACACAGCTGACACACAGGTGACACAGGAGGTGACACAGGTGACACAGGAGGTGACACAGGTGACACAGCTGACACACAGGTGACACAGGAGGTGACACAGGTGACACAGGAGGTGACACAGGTGACACAGCTGACACACAGGTGACACAGGAGGTGACACAGGTGACACTGACCGGCGTTGGGGCCCGCGGCGGGGCCGCCCTTGCCGCCCTCGGGCAGGGCCGGGCGCTTGGGGTCCATCAGGAAATTGTTGAAGAACAAAACCTCCTTGCGCACGGCGCCCATCTTGTCCCCGTGCTTGTTAAAGATGTGCTTGCGCACAAACTCGGGGCCCTGGGGACACAGGTGACATTGGGGACATCGGGGTCACACAGCCCCATCTTGTCCCCGTGCTTGTTAAAGATGTGCTTGCGCACAAACTCGGGGCCCTGGGGACACCAGGTGACATTGGGGACATCGGGGACATCGGGGGATCAGGGACAGCCAGGGGACACCGGGGACATCGGGGGATCAGGGACAGCCAGGGGACACCGGGGACACCGGGGACATCCAGGGGCATCCAGGGGACATTGGGATTGGGGGATTGACACTCCACTGTCCTCCAGTGTCCCCAGGGTGTCCCCAGAGTGTCCCCAATGACCCCAGGGTGTCCCCAGGGTGTCCCCACAGTGTCCCCAGGGTGTCCCCAGTGTCCCCACCTTGAACTTCTTGCCGCTGAGGGGACACAGCCACTTGTCCTTGCCCAGCTCCTGGGTGTCCCCAACGTCCCCAGAGTGTCCCCAATGCCCCCAGAGTGTCCCCAATGCCCCCAGGGTGTCCCCAATGTCCCCACGGTGTCCCCAATGCCCCCAGAGTGTCCCCAACATCCCCAGAGTGTCCCCAATGCCCCCGGGGTGTCCCCAATGTCCCCGGGGTGTCCCCAATGCCCCCGGGGTGTCCCCAACGTCCCCAGTGTCCCCACCTTGAACTTCTTGCCGCTGAGGGGACACAGCCACTTGTCCTTGCCCAGCTCCTGGGTGTTGGCGCTGACGAATTTCTCCAGCTCCTGCTCGGGGTCCTTGCGGCCGAGGCGCTGCGCCTCCTCCTCGGGCACCGCGCCGGGGCCGGCCAGCAGCGGGGCCAGCCGCGCCTCGAAACCGCGCTGCCACTCGGCCACTGCCCAAAGGGGACAGCAGGGTCACCACAAGTGACAAAAACCCCGAAAAAACAACAAAAACGGGGTGAGAACGGGATTTTGGGGTCACTGGGAATGCCAAAAAGCCCCCAAAACTGACAAAAACGGGGTGAAAACGGGATTTTGGGGCTCACCTTTACCATAGGGGACACAGCTGGATTTGAGGAGGTTTTTGGGGTGGTTTTGGGTTATTCTGGGGTGGTTTTGGGGGTTTTTGGGGTGGTTCAGGGTTATTTTGGGGTGGTTTGGGAGTTTTTGGGGTGGTTTAGGGGGTTTTTGGGGTGGTTCAGGGTTATTTTGGGGTGGTTTGGGGGGTTTTTGGGGTGGTTTTGGGTTATTCTGGGGTGGTTTTGGGGCTTTTTGGGGGGTTTTTGGGGTGGTTCAGGGTTATTTTGGGGTGGTTTGGGGGTTTTTGGGGCTCACCTTTGCCATGGGACACGCAGTTGGATTTGAGGGGGTTTTGGGGTGGTTCAGGGTTATTTTGGGGTGGTTTAGAGGGTTTTTGGGGTGGTTTTGGGGGTTTTTGGGGTGGTTTTGGGGGTTTTTGGGGTGG